TGGTCCAATTTCCCCAGTTTTTCCAGAGCTTGGCTGCGCCGGTACAAGGCTTTGATGTCTGAAGCGTTGATGTCAATAGCTGGGAAAGTGATCCAAAAGACCAGGCATCAGAGTTTGTTTCTTGGAAACCCTGTGTGTAAACCATAATCTGCTTTACAGTGACTACAGCTCCTCAAGACGTAGTTGTTAACCTTGTGAGTTGGTGCCTGAGCAGCATCAACTGCATCAATGCATCAAAATCAATGCATATTATTTTGTTCCTTCTCTGTTAATTTCCTTGTGGCCTCAGCACTCGGGTGTGAGTGGATGTTAAGGAATAAGACCACAGTGCCCCAAAAGCAGCTGTGAGAACAAGTTGGAGCAAACTCAGCCAGCAACGCAGCGCTGCTTCCTCAAACCAGCCCCCTCCTTACCTCTAGATGCATCCGAGGCTGCTTTGGCATATTCCTCCTGTTAAACCAGAAGGGAGAGATTTGTTGGCAGTGGAATAGCTAACGCACACTGTGACCTCTCTGTTCTAGCAGGACACCCCAGTGAAACCAGCAGCAGCCTACAGCAGGGAAGATGGGGGCTGAGGTACCTTCTCATCACTGAGAGGGGAAGAGGCAAAGGTCTGTAACACAGGTGAGACAATCCCACACTGGTGATGACACAGCAACAGCCTGCGGGCAGTGATGGGAGAGGGGATACTCACAACAGCCCGTCTGCATTTTGTCTGGGTTGGTGTCACTTCTCCTGGATGAGTGAAAACTCAGGAACATGCAAGCAATCTGCTAAAATCCCACAGCAGGGTGGGTACAAGCTGCCTGCAGGGGAGCTGAGGCAATTTTGGTACAGATTACTTCTTGTTCTGCTAAATATCTACGTCTGCTTCTCTTGTGCTGGGACAGACAGTGAGAGCAACTCCTGGGCACCCCAGTGCGTGGCTTACAGAGCTCTCCCGTAAACTGGAAGCCAAAAGCTTTTGCTTCAAAGTGACTAAGTGGGATCACCTCTGAGCTGAACCCCCCTGGGTGCTCAGCCCACCAGATCTGAAGCAGGGAGGCAGCTTTCCAGCTCCAGGACAAGCCCAGAAAGGAGAAATAATTTCTGACCAATTTGCAAACACCCTGTTTATTAAATGGACAAACCACCCAGTCCACAGCTGGCAAATGCCCTTGGCTGCCTCCTCGCTCTTCTCCCAGGCACGCCAGGAGCTTTTCTCACCTTTTTGAGGAAACAGGCTGCCCTGTTCCTGTACAGCACCACCTGAAGCCCCTTGTCCTTGTTCAGCTTTATGGCTTGAGTGTAGCTTTGCAGAGCTTTCTCGTAGTCACTGGCCTGAAAATATTTATTGCCCTCCTCTTTCAGCTGGATGGGATCCTCCATCTGGAGAGCTTTAAGGAAAAACATCAATTTGTGTCACGTCTTCAGCTGCCCGTGTCACTGGTGTCACTACACCAAGCTGAGCTTCACCATGAGACCAACATGTAATTAACACACGCATTAATAAAAGCAGCTTACCCGGCTGAAGAGTTTGGAAAACGAAGACCTAAATTGCTCCTCGAGGCTGTGGCTTCTCAGAAGCTTTTCCCACGGCTGTAGATCCTTTGGAGCCAATTAATAAAAGAAAGAAAAATGAATAATAAAAAAAAAAGAATTAAAGAAGTTTGCCTGCCCCACGGAGGGTCCCTATGGCTCAGGAAAGAGCTTACCTCCCACTCCAAGTTTGGGCAGGATCTGGCAGCTCCTGCTGCCTGTCAGCGTCACCTGTCACCGCAGCCTGTCCCCCTCCTCGTCCCCCCCCGTGCTATATAGTGCCTGGGGAGGGCTGCGAGCCAGGGCCCCCAGCAGCCAGCCCAGCTCATGGAGGGGGGCACCTCCATGCCAGCGGGCAGCACCCCTCTGCAGGGAGAGGGGATCCTCTCCCACCCACCACCACAAATCCCAGCTTCCCTCCGCCCGCAGAGCTGCACAGGGGCTGGGGAGCAGGAAAAGGGGGGGGTTCATGCCAAAAAAGCCCACAACTGGGATGGCTGACCCCCACCGCAGTGCTCAGACCCTTTTCCAGTTCTATTTTGGGAAGCATGAGACAGCTGAGCCTTGGGGACAGGAGGCCCCGTGCCAGCAGCTGCAGCAGCGCCCAGCACCTTCCAGAACACCCCAGGACAGACAGCTGAAAGCTGACACACACCTCCATCTCCTCCTTCAGGGCCTTTGGGAGCCCACCCTGCTGGAAAGCCCACCCGTGTCCTGTGCTGCCACCTCCCCTCATTTGGCAGCCTGCCCACTGCTGTGATGAGTGCCTCAGGTCTCAATGTGAGTGACACTGGTAGAGCTGGGCCTTTCAAACCCCTCTCTTTCCCAGGTGCGATCAGGAATCAATCAGGATTCAGTCAATCAGGAATTCTGTTTTGTGATTTCTCTCCCCCAAAAGGCAGGCTTTGCCTTCCTGAGTGTACCTACCAGCTTCCCAGCTAAAAAAACAAATGGAGGAACTGGCAGCAGGGATGGGGAAATGACCAAAGGGAACACAGACTGACCAGTATGAGCCCAGTTGCTCCCATCAGGCTTGTGGCACAGAGTTGAGTACAGCAGACAACAAACTTCACACCAAATCTCTGCTGGGGAAAAAAGGAGGGGGAAAAAAAAAAAAAAGTCAGTTATCTTTAACACTGGTGATCTCTGTTGGAGCTTGTGGATCTTATGGAGCAAGAATTGGCACAAGACTTCACTATTCCTGTTTCATTCAACCCGGACCAACAGCACTGCCTGGTCCCCAGGGAGGTGACCACAAAGCCTTCACCTGCTTAGGAGCAGGTCCATGGCACAAGGACCACAACTGCAGAGGGTGTAAGAGGCCATCCCTGCCTTGGACAGGCTCAGTACAGTGGCTTTTCTAGGTCTCACATGGCCAGAAACCCCTTCCCACATTGCTTTAGGTACAAGGGAAGGGACAGTTTGCTTCATTTCAGTATTGAGGCTGTGCTCTATACCATTTCTCAAATTATTCAGAATAAAGGGTTCATTTTCATAAGCAGCAGCACTGGAGGTACTTCAGGTAAAATAAGTTCCAAAATAAAATTGTGTTTAACGCTACTGATGATCAAGGCAGAGCTAAGAGTGGCCTGAGCTCCCCTCGGTATGTATTTTTGGGATGAGGTCTTGATGATTACACCACAGGGAAGAAGAAGAGCATCTGCCCGGGACGGGGGTACCAGCCCCAGAGTGACCTGACCCTGTGCCTGCAGCTGGAGCAGATGTGCTGATGCCCTGCGATCAGTCCCAGCAGCGAGTGCGGGGGGCCCTCTTCAGGCCTCAGCCGAGAAAGCAAAGAAATAAATCCCTTTTCCTGGGGAAATTCAAGTCCCAGAGCAGCCAGGGATGAGGACAACCCCCAGGCTCCCCAGCAGCAAGCCCCTTTCAGGGACAGAGCTCTCCCCACCTGCAGGGCAGCGAAGACCTACCACCACCACCTTCATTTTCCACCCTGCAACTCCAACTGCAAGCACTGATTGAAGAATCCAGGCAAACCCAGCCCTGGGATCCCACCTTACCTCCTGGCTCCAAGCCACCTTCTAACCCAGGGCCTTACAGAGAGCTGGAAAATCCCGCAGTGAAATTGCCCTCCAGAAAATCCCAGGATGAGCTCCAGCATCTCCAGAGCAACAACAGGGCTGCAGAAGTAGCTGTGCTCAGCACCCAGGACCCAACCCTTTCTCCAACACAGCATTAGAGACCTTCTCCTTGGGGTAAAGCCACGTGCAATCCCTTTTAGAGCTGCCCCCAAACCCCTCAGGGAAGCTCAGTATTTGCATAGAGCTCAGATTGACCTCTGGAATAGCTTCAGAAGTTAGAGTTCAAGGGGTTTTTTTTCTCCTATTCACATCAGCTGCTCTCCTGGCCAGCACTCAGACCCCACCAGCTCTGCAGGGGACGACCAGTCCGCCCAGCAGCAGCAGAGAGCCCAGCTCTGAACACAAGTTGTGCTTTTAAAACCAAAACAAGCCTTACTCAGAAACACACTGAGCTCTGTAAGATGGGACCAGAGCAGCCTCATCTCCACCTCCTACTTCTTCAGTCTGTCTCAACTTTTAAACTATCATGCTTGAGCCTCCCAAACAACAGCATCTACCCCAAAAAAACCCCCCACAAACCAGCCTAAGCTCTGCTTCTGTTATTTATAGAGCCGAGAGCTGCGGCATTGCTGGCACCTGTGCTGATGGGCATTTAAAGGCAGCTGGTGGGTGGGGGGGTCCTTATAGATCAGAGGGATCCCTTATTCATTCATTTTCCTTTGCTCCAGCTTTGCTGCAGCTCCTGAGCTCTGCTCCTCCTTGCTGCCCCCCCCCCCCCCGCCACAGCATCCTCTGTGCTGTGGGGCTGCGCTGCCAGCCCAAACCCCTAGTTTGCTGTGTGAGCTCCCAGGAGAGCACCCTTGGGTGCCAGCAGGAACCGGAGACCCCTTTGCTTACAGGGTGTTTGCTAGGGGACAGACGGTGTGTGTGTGTCCCCCACCCCTCGCTGGGGACGGCGGTGGCCGGGGGGGCGAGCGGTGGCCCCGGGGGCTGAGGTTGTGGGGTTGGGGCAACCCGGGGGCTGAGGTTGTGGGGTTGGGGCAACCCCGGGGCTGAGGTTGTGGGGTTGGGGTGAGCCCCGGGGGCTGAGGTTGCAGGGTTGGGGCTGAGGTTGCAGGGTTGGAGCAGCCCCGGGGGCTGAGGTTGCGGGGTTGGAGCGAGCCCCCGGGGCTGAGGTTTTGGGATTGGGGCAACCCGGGGGCTGAGATTTCGGGGTTGGGGCTGAGGTTGCGGGGTTGTGGCATCCCCGGGGGCTGAGTTGCGGGGTTGGAGCCCGGCCGTGCCGCCGCTAGGTGGGAGGGCGAGTACGAGCCCTGACGGGCTCTTCCGCTGCCCGAAGGAAGCAGGAAGGGGAGCAGGCAGGGGACGGGGTCCGGGTCCCGGTCCCGGGGGGAGCCCGGCTCGGGGTGCCCGGGGGAGCGGGGATGCAGCTGGGGAGCGAAGGCAGCGCAGGGCGGTGGGGATGGGGGTGGGAAACTCCTCCTGAGGCTTTTTCCTCCGGGATGGAGATACACACCCGCTGTGCCACGGCTGGCTGCGGAATTTGGGGCTGTTTGGGCCAAAAGGGAGACTGAGCGCTCGCTGTGACCCTCCATCCCACCGCAGGCTGGGGAGCATCTCCCCGGGTTGTGCGGCTCCGGGGGGAAAGGCACGGTCCGGGGCCAAATCCGCTCTCCCGTCTCCTCAGGTCTCCTCTCTTCTCCTGGCCCCGTGGGGCTCCATCCTGGGGTGGCCAGGGACATGGTAGTCCTGCGGGCTGGGCTCTGCCCCGGTCTCACGGAAGAGATGATCCAGCTTCTCCGAGCGAACGGCATCAGGACGGGTAACGGGGCAGCAGCGGGGTCTCGGGTTGGGGAACATCATCCCCTTTAGAGTGGCGCCGTGCTCTCCTCCCCTGCAGGACCCATCCAGCCTCCCATGCCAGCTTGGGTGTTCTGGGCCGTGGGGCAGCCCCTGGAAAACATCTCCTGCCTCTTTGGTTTTATCCCACCCATTCAACATTCCTCCCATGTCCTCCTTGCTGGGTGTCTTCTGGGTCTCCCTGGGTGGACATAATGATTTGGGACTTCTTCACAGGAGCAGGGTGGGGTAGTAGGGGTCTCTGCAGAGGCTCTATGAGAGGTGATCAGTTATGGCTTTTAGAAGGTATTTCAGGAGGGTCTGTGCATTTTTCTCTCTGAAAAATGCCCAGGCTCCTGGCACGCTGCACCCTGGGCAGCTTGTCCCCCTGATTTGTTTTGCAATGGGTGGCAGGGCCATCTCAGAGGAAAATACTCCAGTGCTCTATTTTGTGGGACATCCTGCTTGTCTACTTGAAGTGTTGGCAGAAGGCACAGATGTTCTGCCTGTTGGTGCAGGCAGGTTTAGTCTAAGCTGTTTGTCTCTTTGGTGTTCATGGTCGCTCCGGGTTTGGCTTCCAACTTCTTGTTCCTCATGTTATTTGCAGTGGTGGACTTTGTGTCATCAGACCTGGAGGATGTTGCCCAGAAGTGTTCCCTGTCTTACAAGGTAAAGGATGGCTCCTAAGTCCTGGTGCGTTAATTAGGATGCTCAGAGCTGCTCAGCTCGTGACTTGGATGGGCTCGTCTGGGGGGGACCTTCTGCAGCAGACATGCAGAACTTCCGTGGACTTCCTCAGTTCTGTCTCCAGACATCTCTCTGCCCACCAGGCACTGGTTGCAGTGAGACGTGTGCTCCTGGCCCAGTTCTCTGCCTTCCCCACCAATGGAGCAGACCTCTATGAGGAGCTCAAGAGCTCCACAGCCATCCTGCCCACTGGGAGCCCAAGGTGAGTACCTGACCCAGCGAACCAGCAGATCTACCCAGGGCTGTGCCTGCTGCAAAAGGCCATGGTTGCCCAGCATAGGCTTTGAATTTCAATGTGGTGATGCCCTGAGCCAGGCTCAGTGGTGTCTAAACCATGCCCTGCAGCTATTTAAAAAACTTCCAGCCACAGCCTGGCTCTGCCTTTTGTGAGTCAAGAGATGGTTATTCTTCATGTCCTGTGGCTGCAAAGCCAGCGGGTCTGTGTCCCTTGAGGGAATGACATTGCTGTTGTCGTTGTGAGAGCCTGCACACCTTTTGGGAACTGGTTGTGTGTCTCGCTTCTACGTTAAATAACACGGTGTCTTCAGCCTTTCTCTTGAGGGGTCTAGAGAAGGAGGGTTGGGGATTTGGGAGGACCGTTGAGTGATGATGATCCAAACTGTCTAGATCAGGCATAGAAATGAGTTACTCTATTGCATGTCCTCACTTCTCTTCCTCTGTCTCCCTGCTGGGTTGTCACAGTGACTGTGCAAGGAAACCCTGGGTGTTCAAACCTGGTGCTCAGAACCACAGCTCTTCAGCTCAGGACTGTCCTCTTGTGTCCCCCACATTGCAGAGCTGCTGTTGCCCAGAATGTGGAGAGAGCCGGGGATGGGAGGGAAGGAGAAGACAAAGCACTTGTCCATGTTTGGGAAGGGGGCTTTGGGGACTGCTGCTTCCCAATGCCCCTGTCCTTCTGGCTGAAGATGTGTTGATAATCCCACTTTGTCTTCAACCCATAGCCTGGACCAGCTGCTGGACTCCGGGCTGTACACGGGGGAAATGACGGAGCTCATGGGAGCGCCGGGAAGTGGGAAGACACAGGTGAGTGGGACAGAGGAGGGGAGAGGACAGGTAGGGTGAAGATGCCTTCAGGTGTGTGAAGCAGGACCTGGGAAGGCTGACTGATGCCCGGTCCCTGTATCTCCAGGTGTGCCTGGGCATTGCAGCCAGTGTGTCTCTCGGCCTCAAGCAGCACCTCCTGTTTCTCGACTCCACGGGGGGATTCACTGCCTCTCGTCTCTACCAGATGCTTCGAGCCCAGGCAGAGGCCGAGGAAGAGCAGGCAAGTTCCCCCAGAGCTGGTCCCACCGCTGCTCTTCCACTCATGCTAAAACTGCCTTGGCTCTTGCCTGCAGACAACCCCCAGAGATGTTTTTTCTCTCCAGCTCTGCCTTTGTCCCCATGGGCTTTTTTGGGGTTCAAATTCTTCCTTCTTTGGCCGGGTGGGTGCTGTGCTCAGGGATGGACAATGCATTTTTTATTTTTTTTGTCTTGGGGAGAAGGGGAGGGCGCGCTCCCTGAGCTCAATCTGCGTTGCTTCTTCCATCATTGCAACAGGAACAACAGTGTTTATGGGATGGAGGCAAATGTGGAAGAAATAAGGGTCCCTGTCTCCATGGTATAAATGCAAAGAGCTGGTAGCAGCTGGGCAGGAGGAATATGGTGGGTCCTGGAGGGGATGGGGCTGTTGTTGATGCCACTTTGTGCCACAGCTGGAGGCTCTGCAGCGGATCCAGGTGGTCCGTGTGTTCAACGTTTATGAAATGCTGAGGGCCTTGCAGGAGCTGCGGGATCGCCTGTCCCAGCAGGTAAGAGCAAGTCTCCAGGCCCCTTTCCCTTCCCCAGAGCTGCAAGGAAGGCAGCGAGGCTTGTGTGCCTGACACGTGACACCAGATCACCCCATCCTGGGACATCTGAGCCTCTGTGCAGCTCATAACCTCCAAAATTGCTGGGTTTGTTACTCCACATTGCACATGGTGCCGCCTCCTTTCAGGTCGTGAGCTCCACGGGACCCCTCAAGATGGTGGTGATCGACTCCGTCTCGGCTGTGATTTACCCGCTGCTGGGAGGCAGGCAGTCGGAGGGTGAGCTGCTTCGTTGGGATGGGCAGTGAGGTTGCAATGAGGGCAACGAGAGAGGTTTCTGCTCGTCCTGAAGAGCATCTTCTTCCCACGTGTGCTGTTCCTGGAGCAGGGACAGGACCGATGCGGGTGCAACTGCTGCCAGCTTTTCCTTTGCAGCCGGATAAAACAGGAGCCTGTTTGCAGCGTTATCGGCAAACATTCAAGCTGGCTGTGGCTGTGCAAGCTCCTGCTGGTGGTCTGAAACCCATCCAGGGGACAGAGAAGGCACTGAACAGTTTGCTCACAGAGTAAAACCTCCACTTACAGTGTCACGGATCCATGGTGGTTGCTGGCACGGTCTGCAAAGCTCCCCTGAGGCTTTTTCTGCCAGAAAGGACCATAAATCAGGAGTGAGGGAGGGGCTTTCTGCTGGCTGGGATGCCAAGGAGGCCCCTCAAACACCTTCCAGAGGGTCTTGCGCACCTGGGTGGCAACCAGAACTATCACAGGAGGTCCCCTTAGCAATGGGCTGTAGGAAATGGTGTGAGCTGGAGAGAGGGGGGTCCTGTATCTGCTAAATGAACCTGGTTGGCTTTGTCTAGAGCTCCTGGTAGGGTTTTTTGGCCTCAGGGCTTCTAAGGTGGGAAAGGAGGGTGCGGGACAACTCACAGATTGATCTGTCCATGCCACATCCATTCGGCTGGGGTGCCCTGGAGCGTGCAGATGCAATGGGTACCTTGGAATGAGGGTAATGGAAATGGGTTGAAGGTGCCCACAAGCACCAGGACTGGCACTAAATCTGGTGTTGATCCAAGTCTAGATGTCGCCTACCACTAAGATGGACTTTGCAGGTTGATCCACAAACACTCAAATGCTCTGTCTTCCTCCAGGTTTGGCCATCATGATGCAGCTGGCCAGGGAGCTGAAGACACTGGCCAGGGAGTTCAGCCTCGCTGTTGTGGTGAGTGTTACTGCGCCTTGTCCTTCGTGTGCTGTTGTGTGCCATGGTGAGGAGCCCTGGAGAGCCTTTAGATCCCTTGGGAGGAGGTGGACCCCGCTCCCAAATGAGCTTCTGCTCCCCGATGTAGCTTTGCTTCTCTGCAGCCCATGGTTGCCTTGTTCCAGTGAGTGTGTAGCAAGAAGAGGGCTGATTGCTACACGCTTTTATTGCTGTCCCCAGCCAACGAGGCACTAGCTCAATGGAGCGAGGTAGAGTTAAGTACAGAAAGTTTGGAAGGTTGGTTATATTTTTGATATAACATTCATTTAAGGGGCTGGCCAGCTACTAAGTAATCTCTTGGTCCATTACCTTGGGGGAACTGCAGAGTGTTGCATTGTCCAGAAGGAGCTGGGTTCTGGAGGGGGCTCTGCTCTCGCCTTCTCCAGCTCTTGGCCAAGTGATTGCCTTTGCTTCAATGCACCCAGACGGGTTGCTGTGACCACAGTGAATGTGTTTGAATTGGGAAGGCCACAATGGAAAATGATGGTCTGCTCAACCTGACACTGGAAGGTGTCAAGACAGTCCTGCCTTTTGCTTTGATTAGTGATAAAGTGACAGGGATGGGGTTCCTGGAAGGATACTTGGAGGCTCCAAGTTAAACTTCACAGGTGGCTTCCACACCAGGAGTCACTGCAGCTTGCAGGTACAAGTGAGCTCCTACCTGAGTACGTGTCTGGGGCAGTTGCTTGGGCTGTGTGTAGAGGGGATGGCACGGGTGTGCCAGGAAGAAAAAGCTTCACAGAAGTGGCAGATTGGCCACTTCATTGATTGGTGTTTCACTTCACCGAGTGGCACTGCTTTTTCTGGGCACTGATAAGCCTGTTTGTGCTGCAGGTGACTAACCAGGTGACAAGGGACAGCAGCACGGGGGCACTGAAGCCAGCCCTCGGCCGCTCCTGGAGTTTTGTGCCCAGCACCCGGGTGCTGCTGGAGAGCAAAGAAGCCACCAGGGAGAAAGCCACCACGCAGTGCATTGCTTCCTTAGCAAAGTCCCCCCGGCAGGTGAGGCTCCCTGGAGTGGTCCCTCTGGGAATGGAGAAGAAGCTGTGTGACATGAACTTGGCTTCAGAGCTCCTTCTGGGGGTAGGGCAGGATCAGGCCCCACTGGGTGACCCATGGCGATGGGAGAGGAGCAAATGCAGCCTGGTTGTATGCTCTGGAAGAGAAGAACATCTGTTCCAAACAGCCTGAGCTTGTGTTTATGGGCATGTAAAAAGAGTGGCACCACTTCCAGTCCAGGTCACTGTGTTCCTCGTGCTCATCTTGCTCTCCTGGTTGTGTATGGGCAGTGAGGGACCTGCAGAGCTGGCTCCCACACCTGCAGAGGTGACTTTGGCTTAAATCCTGCCTAGGTATGGGGCAGTGCTGGCTGAGCCTTCTGGCTTCCAGCCCATTCTGCTGCCTGATCCAAATGGGCTTGGACATAGTGCTGTGCTGGGTGGTGAAATGCATCCTGCATATGCTATATAATAGTGTGTCTGGGGATATCTCGGAGCAAGATGTTCTTTCTTTACTGAATTGCATTCTCTGTTTGTATCTCTGTGTTCAGCAGACCCAGTTAAAATGAGGGCACTGGTAAAGAAACCCTCAAGGGGGATGTAATGGGGGATTTTTGGCTCTGGGGGAGGTGATGGAGCAATGTAGAGGTTTGCCTGTAGAGTCCCAGCAGAGTGAGGTTAAGCTCTGCTCTTTTTCTCCTTGCAGCCCACAGGGATACAAGTGGAGCTGGACGTTGGATATGGTGATGTGCAGGAGCCAAGCCCAGCGACACCCCCATAGGGGCTCTGATGCGGGTGGAAAAGCAAATGTCAAGGTCCAAGAGCGCTGCAAAAACAGCAGACAAGCACACAGAAGGTTTTTAACAGATTGACTCTGGGTCCTGCAGCCTCGGGAAGGACCAAGGTGAAAGAAGCTCTTGTTCTTCTGCACTGGGGAGAAAATGAGCTTGGGGTTCCCCAGAGATCCCCGTGCCTCAGCAGTGGTGGCTGGGTTGTGTGGGGCGGTGTGACAACCAGGTCCTCTCCTCTGCTGCAGGCTTGTCTTCAACCAGCAGAGCCAGCCCTGTCCTAAGCAGTTGGCTTGGGACCAGTTGGCACATCCCTGCACAAACCCGTGACGCCTCGTGATGGGTTTGTTCCTCCCATAACTATGGTCCTGCAGCTCTGATCATCCTTGGGCAGCCCACAGGGGTCTTGGGTTAGAAATAACAAAAAAAGATGTTGCACACCTCTGTGTTTCTTGAGAGCTGGAATTCAATTAATGGCGACTGCTGTTAACTTAATTAAAATTTTGAGGTTTAGTCCTTAGCAGGACTGGGGTGGGACAGGCTGCTGATGAGCAGGGACATAATCGGATGCTTGATCTGACCTTGTCCTTAGAGTAACACCAGGCCTGGTAGGGAACCTCTGGTATTTTGGAGCACTGCTGTATAAAGAATTGCTGTTAACTGAGGAAGGTTATAATGTGGATGAGCCCTGACTGACACCAGCTGGTCTTTCTGATGCTCAAGGAGCTACTCAATTGCATGTGTTCAAATGGGTTAAAATAATCTCTCCTTGCTCTGGTGCTTTCCAGCTGCTCTCGCTTGCTCTGGGCAACCTCCTGGGGGCTTGTGCAGTGCTGGAGAGGAGACGGGAGGCTGGGATGGAGCGTGGCCTCTCAATTCCAGATAACTTGGACACCCTCATCCTCTGCTTAATAAGGAACTTCCTTGGCAAGTGAGCAGAGTTATGGGTTTGCACCTCCAAAGCTGCTGATGTAGATTGTGGGGGCTGGGACTCATCAGGGCATGCTCGTTAAATTAATAACACAGCAGTACAGCTCCTGGAGCCTTCTAAGGCTGTGCTGGGCAAAGAGGAGTCTGATTTAGCCAGAACTTGGGTGCTGATTTCTCCAGAGTAGACATAACACTGTACGGCCCTGTATTTCTGAGCAATAGCTGCTGTGGGGAAGGGGCAGCTAAAAGGGGTATGTGAACACACATTTTGGTTTCTCAAGAGGCAGTGCCAGGTCTCGGTACAGATTTTTCTTTTGCATATTTGTCAAAGCTGTGCTTCCTGTGAAACCGAGCTCCTGGTGCTCCCAGGGCTGTGATTTATGGGGCAGGTCCTACCTCCTCCATCGCGGCCACCCAGCCTCTGGGGCTGTGGGAAAGGCTGTGCTCCCAGCAGATCCTGCCCGAGGAGGGGAACGTGCCAAAGCAACGTGAGCTATACCATTAAACAGTTTTCAGTAAAAATAAATGTCTTTTAAGGTTGTGTGTTTGTTTGCATTTCTGGGCTTTCCAAGCTTGGGAGGGGAGTTTGGCCCCAGGGATTGCAGCCCGGCTGGCTTGAGTGAGGAGGAGGAGGAGGAGGATGGTTTTCCTTACTGCTGGAGACCCGTGCTGACGTGGCTGGTCCTTACAAGCAGAAAATTGAGCTTGTTATGTCTCTTGGAGCTGTGAATAAATAGCTGCTACACACAAATTTCAACCCAAACTCCATGCTACAGTTTTATCTCTCTGTCTGAGGTTCTGTAGGGGAAGCAAAGCTTTTGTGAGTGTGTAGAGCAGGGGAAATAGGAAGCTTTTATAGGTATATTTGAACCAAGGGAGCTTTCTTGCTATCTCATTCCCCTGACAAGAGGGAGGATGAGAAGGGGAACAGCCCTCTTTGAACCCTGCATCTACCTCAGCATGAGACCAGCCATGTGCCCAGTGAGGATCTTCACCGTGGCCCCTGGGCAATGACAGCAGAGACTCTGCTGTGACATGTAGTCACTGGGGAGCAGTCAAAAGGGGGATGGTGCCAGTCGGTCGGGAAGAGACCATGGAAAGGCAGAGACGTGTGGGCTGTGTTCCTCCAAAGCTAAACATCCCAGGCTTTCAGGCATAGCCGTGACCTGGGGGGATTTTTTTTTCTCTTTGGCAATCAGCTAATTGCAGCTGTGGGAGTTTTATGCCCTTTTGGGAAACATCTGGGTATTCGGGGAGGATGGTGTGACACAGGGCATGGCTGAGCTTCACGTGGCAGCTCCTGGGTTTGCTGCTGAGGTCGACAGCGTGTGTGTGAGGGGATGGTGACATCCTGAATTTCTGGCTGTGGTGCTGGGGGGAAGGAGGAGCTGTGGGTGCTGGTTATTGCCTGGTGTGGGGACAGCAGAAGGGTTTGGGCAACAGGAACCTATTACCTGATCTGGAAAAACTTGCCTTCTCACTCAAGCTGATTTGCCCTAAGTTTGCATAGTAAAATTAGGCTGGAAGGAGTTTCTCATCTTAATATCCAAATTCAGCCTTTCTCCTCCATGCTCAGACAGGCGCTTCTGCAACCCCGTGAGATAGGGCCTGGCTGTGCCAATGTGGATGGGGACGTCCCCTCTCCCTGCTCCTTCCCAGTGCCTAAATCTGCTGGAAAACTGTGGGAAAGGTGGGATAAAACCCATCCCAGGGCAAACAGGGCACTCCTCGCTCCAAGCAGTGGGGATGCCTTTTGGCACTGAGGGTTTATTTGCACTTAATGTGTATAAAATACATATATCAGTGTGTGCTTATGTGTATTGTGTGCCTATATGTGTCTAAATGTGTCTGTACGGGGATGTGTGTGTGGGAAATAAGCTAAGTTTTGCTTCAGCTAATTGATGTATCATTGTTAGTGTGATAGTACTAACAAAGAAGCCTTAGTAATAGTAGAGTCTAATAAATTGTATCCAATTAATCCCCAGAAATGTCCTTAGTCTGTCAAGGGATCCTTGTTCACAGAGCATTATCTAGGTGAAGAGAAACAGACTGGAACATGGCCTTCAACACAAGAAACCAGAGGGGAGGGGAGTATCAATAAGACCAAAGAAACCAGTCTGGTAAATCTGCCAAGTAGATGGTAGCAAAGACTCTGAAATAACGTGTAGCTTAATCAACTAATCAAAGGCGTGTTTAGGATAATAATTTCGTAGAACAGGTGTATGTGTGCCTTATATGGGAAAAAGTGCAAAATAAACCTGTAATAGGTCAGGGAAGAATGTGAGCTCCAACTTCTCAGCCAACAAGAAGGGAGACAGAAACTCAAGCGGCCGGGATAAAGGTATAAAATACCTGAAAGCTAAAAGATCATCGTGCATCTATTTTTGGTGCACCCGATTCAGTGCTGTTTCGTATTAATAAATTATTATTTTCTTAACCTTTGCTTCGGTGACTTTGTCCTCTTTAAATTCTAAGATGTGAGTTGGTGTTTCTCACATGTGTGTATATATATATATCACGAAGCTGGTGAAGGGCCTGGAGAACAAATCGTACGAAGAGCGATTGAAGGAGCTGGGACTGTTTAGTTTGAGGAAGAGGAGACTGAGGGGAGACCTGATCACTCTCTACAGCTACTTGAAAGGACAAGTCGGTGCTGGTCTCTTCTCACAGGTAATTAGTGATAGAACAAGAGGGAATGGATTCAAACTGCACCAGGGTAGGTTTAGACTGGACATTAGGAAGAAGTTCTTCACAGAAAGAGTGATCAGAGACTGGAATAGGCTGCCCAGGGAGGTGGTTGAGTCACCATCCTTGGATGTGTTTAAGAGTCGTTTAGATGTGGTGTTGGGGGACATGGTGTAGGGGAGAACTTTGTAGAGTGGGGTAGATGGTTGGACTTGATGATCCCGAGGGTCTTTTCCAACCCGAATAATTCTATGAAATGGGTGTACCTGTATGTGTGTTCTTTTATACATCTATATGCGGGTGTACCTGTGTGGATATCCCGTGCAATGCACCCAAACCCCCCGTGCACACATCACAACCCCCTCCAAAACCCACTGGACGCCTCAGCCACACCCCCCCACACCCCACCCCTTTCCCCGCTGCCCGTCCGGGGTCTCGAACCCACGTCCCTCGGAGCCGCCGCTGCCCTCTCGGCCTCCTGAGGGCGCCAGAGACTCCGCCGCGCCGCCAGGGGCGGGCCGCCC